AAGTTGTTTTCTTCTCAGATACAATTTTTTGTTTGAGCTGATCAAAACTAGTTTGATATTCATCAAGATGAGAATTCATTGTTGTTAAATGATATTTTAATTTTTGAATATCTTTTTCATATTGATTATTTCGTAGAATAGATGAACGAAGTTGTTCATTTAATTTTTTATTTTCTTCATAAAGACGTAAACATTTTTGACGCTCAATATGAATTATATGATTACGACGAATACATTCTTGACATTCGTGTTGTTTTTTATATTCGTCTTGAAGAACAGAAACATTTGTAATTTGATTCGATTTTTCTTCAGTAAAAAATAATTCAGATGGTTGTGTAACTTGATAAGTAGTAAATGTATCATGACGTGGACGAGTTACATTTTCAGATGATGTCAAATGTAATGAATCTAATTTGAATAAAACAAAACATAAACATTATTTCTTCATCAATATTAGAGATATACAGAAGAGAGTAGGGTAAACATTTTCTAGTGTAAGATATAGTAAGGTAAAGAAAATCTTTTTCATTCAATGTACAGAGTACGAAAAAAGTCTCCCTGCATATCTCTAGTCAATATAGGGAAAAAACTAAAAAAGAGTGTTAGATACCATTGTCATTGCTAGTATCATTAGTTTCTTTATATTCATTAGATGAATTAATTAATGATGATGATTCTGTTGGATACTGGTATTGTTTAAGTTTATTTTTAACATGATCTGAAAGTTGAATAACTTGGTCATGACGTTGCATTTTATGCTTATTGTTAACATTGATTGTATGTTATAGAGTTTGCTTTGCTTTTTTATATTAATTCAACAAAGAAAAAGAGAGAAGGAATATTCTTTGTTTTTTTCTCTTTTCTAATTTGGGAACACATTGAATCTTCCACACATTATGATGTTTTCTAGTCTAGTTCTTTTTCTTTTCTTTTTCTCTTTGCTTTTTTTTTTAGATATTTTTCTCATCGTTCGAGTTTCTAAATGACACTATTTAACAATAAAAGCATGTCTCATTTATTTGATTTTAAAATTTAAGTGTTGTTGAGTATAGAAATAGATTAAATTGCATCTATTATTATTAACTATAAATGTCGTGTTTCAAATAAAGAATGAATAGATGTTAATTTCAAATTTTTATTTTTTTAATGTAAGTAATGCGTGAAAATTTCTTCTACAAGAACTCCTAAATTAAAGATTCAATTTTTTTTAAATTTTATCTTAAATTTAATGATATTTTATCATTAAAACTTCTAAAAACTGATGTAACAAATAAAAATAACTCTTTTGAAAATAGAAAAATTAATTTTATAAAGTTAGCAGAGTATGACGGTCATTCAAATTTATAAAATATCTACGATAAAATTTTGATGTGATAATTGATTAAATTATGCATGAGAGTTGTCATTTGATTATTTTTATAAATTAATAATAGTATAAATCATTCAGTTTATCATATTTTCATACCAAAGAACAAGTTTCTGATTATCATCGAATGCATTTCTTTATTATATACTGGTTTGATAGTTTAAAAAAATTAGACTAATCCATTTCACATCTACATTGAATGCGACTCTATTCATTATTGTTTGATTAAAACAGTCATTTAATATATATTTGCATTGTTAACAATGAGTACAAGTACACAAATATAAATAAATGAACAGGCAAGATTGGTCTTGAATAACAAAGAATTAACAGTAAAATAACACATAACTGATTGTAATATTGTTACCTGTCAATATGTTTTTATTTTTTCAAAGACAAATAATCGTAATGAAAAAAAAGTCTTCTTCTAATTTCGTGCTTCTCTTCAGAAAACATCATAAGATAATCAACGAATACAAAGAAAATTTAAACTATTTAATAACTGTTCTGCATCAATTGAAATATTTCGTCATAAAAAGTATTCTATTTTTCTTTCTCTCTAGAAAACAATCGAATCACATATTTTTATATTTTGAATACATATTCACTCAATTATCTTAAGCTAAGAAATTTATGAATGTCGTCAAATGTAAATTCTATTATTGGAATAATAGTAATAACGAAAAAACTGTCGCTCGTAATCTCTGTTAATCTCACATTTCTCCTTACGAGAAGCAATGCGGATACTTTTCCTATCCGACGATCAACAAATACATATGATTAATTGAGCTAAATGTCAGCATCGATATGTAGTTCGAAAATGTTATCTAAAATAGCATATTCTCAATATTATGTGACATGCTGAAAGGAATATATGTATGTTCTACTGAAAAACCTTGTCGACGTTCGCAAATATTAATTTATGAAACACAACGTCGCAAGCCTCGTGTTGACTTTCTTTATTTTTTTTATGCATTGTTACAATTTCGTTTAGCTTTTGAACAAAATGATGTCATTCATAGGCTTGAATATGTATAAATAAAATATCATACCTTCGCTTCTACGAAATATCTTTGTCCTTTGAAGAATGTTAAGTAATTCTTGAACTCTACATGTTTCTCCAATCAATCTCCATACTTATACCTGTTATTTCTATATGATTTATTCATACAATGATTGATATACACAACATTAGAAATAATGTTTATATAAACAAAGGAATTTTAACAAATTCATTGTTCTTCAAAGTGTCTAACTTTTTTATGACAGGTGATTGTATACAATGGATTGAACAATGCTAAATGTTTTCAACTGAGATTTTCTATGTTTTGTGAGCGATTTTGACTTGCTATTATTAAAGTAACAAATTAAATTACAGTAGTGGACCAAGGTCTCCGCCGTAAACGATCTCAGTCATTCTGAATGCTAGAGCTCTGAAAATTTGTATACACATGTTTCGCCAAGAACGTGGGTAGACACATTACTCTGCTCCAATTGCTCAAGTAGAAATAGAAATATGATAGATGACAACGGATGGTACATATATCGCAATTGAATATCATAACTTTAAAAAAAAATGAGCTGTATAGATCAGATAGATAACGGCTGATTATGCAGCGTTGGACCGTAGGTATCCACTCCATTAATTTCATTGAAGTTTATATATCCTCTCTAGCACTCTGACTATGTTACTGTGACTGTTGATGTGAATAAAAATTATCTAGCGTCTTTTTGAGACGAGAATGCAGTACTAATTTAGCGAGTAACGCTTAAACGCTTAGAAAAAGCTATCTCTACAGTTGGATATTAGTATCGACAAGTTCCATAAACAGACTATGTATGCACTGATCAGAATTGGTGCAACTATAACCATTGTGTTAATGAGGTGTAGAATTTAGAAAGATTTACAGACGTCAATATTCAAGCAAATAAAATCATCTTTTGAGTAAAGAACGGTCATAGCCTAAACTTCAGTTATATTCAAAAACATCAAGAAGTAATTATGTATTTAGTAAAAAGTAGTGACCAATTGACTAGACAGCTCCTATTCAAATTAAGAAGCTTAATGCAAAAAAAAGGTGTTATTTGTCGTAATTTTCTTTATAATGAAGTCATCGAAACAGAATTGTATCTCTAAATCCACATATTTGACAAATATTTACACAAACAATATTCAAGCCTCTAGCATTTATAATGGTTGAGATCCTCTTGGCCAGAAGTTTTTGTTCACTATTTTACGTTGTCTAGCTAATAAATGAATATACAGATTTATGAACAAAGAAAATACATCGATTATACTATTATTATAATCATTGTTTGTAGTTATATGATCAAAAAAGGTCATTGAAAAAAAAAAAGCTTGTCTTATTAAATTAATTTCGTATAAAAATAGTAGAAGTATCAAAAGTAACCAACTAATTAGTTCATCTGTCAGATAATTAGTAATGACATTATCATATGTGATCATTATTTCTTGTCATAATAATTAAAGAAATACTTTCAATCGCAAGTTGGTTTTCTTTCATGTTTCGAAGAGTTTTGTTGTCTCGAAGCTAATTTTATTGTTGCAAAAGTATAGGTTGGTCAATGTCTATAAAAGACCATATGAAGTAGTAAAACGAGAAGAATAAAACAAAAATAGTTTACGTGAAAACTTTTCAATGTACAGATTAAATGTTGTGCTCCTATGTCATCAATCTGATTGTTGTATAAATTAAGTGTAGTAAGTGTCTGTACGAAATGAAACGTCGATGATCGAATCAGAAAAAAACAAAAATACTTACTGCATTCAATCTCAATGCATGAGCTAAATGTTCTGCTCCTATTTTCCCGATTTTGTTGTCTCCTAGATTGAGTACAGTAAGTCCCTATGAAAATTATGGAAAAGTGTTAAAATAAGATAACGAAGAAGAAAAAGACGAATACTTTGTTGCCTTGAAGTGCACTAGCTAAATATTGTGCTCCTAGTGAGCTGATTGAATTGCTGTATAGATTTCGTGTAGTAAGACTCTATGGAATAATAAAAAATGCTGAACTAAGGAAGCACTGAAGAGAGCAAATTAATTACCATATTATTTCGTAATGCATTAGCTAGATGTTGTGCTCCTTGATCACCGATTCTATTGTAAGAAATATGTAGTTCGGTTAGTGTCTGTATGGTATAATATATATATGTAAGAAAACAGATTACTGTATTAAATTGTAAACTATCAGCTATAAATACATACTGCTCCTTGATAGTCAATTTCATTGTAAGAGAGACTTAATGTAGTCAGTGTCTATATGAAATGATAAGATATGCATGTTAAGGCAAAAGAAGAAAAGACAAGAATTTCTACATTATTAAATTTTAGAGAGTCACCCAAATATTGTGCGCCTTCATCTTTAATTTGATTATACCAAAGATTGAGTGTTTCAAGTGTCTATATGAAACAATGAAAAAATGATAAAATAAGAAGACAATGACACATCGATATTTACTCGATTGTTTTTTAATTTACTGGCGATATCTTTTGTTTCTTCGTCGCCAATTAATCCGTTTCGCAGATCAAGATTGATTCAGTCCTGTTAGAAAAAAAATATCAAGAATATAAGAAAGGAATGAAAATAGATGCTTCGAACAAACAAGCGTTGAAAGCAAGGAATTAGTATGTTATCAATTTAAGTATTTAAGCTTATGAAAAAAACATATAAATAGATTAATAAAGTCTGATAAACTGTGTTAATACAATGGTTATTAATATGTAGTGATCGATATTTACTAGATCGATTTGTAACGTTTTCTTTTGTTCCAATAGTTTGTTGTTACGGTAGGGAGGTTTTGTAGTCGGTTGATCCGTTCGTATAGCTAAAGGTTATGTTCCCTTAGCTTGAAACTGCAACATGTTTTTGTGTAGGTGCAGCTAATAATTCAGTTAGTTGTGGTGCTGGTTTTATAGACAATTTGGTGACCTCTTGTAATAGATTATTTCGGAATTTTATAGACTCTAGTAATGTTTTCTTCTTTGTTGGTATTTCACGAAGTTGAATAGGTTTACTTAAAGGTGCGATAGACTGTAATATTGGTTTAGCTAATACAGTGAGAGGATACTGTACTGGTAAGAGAGTTTGTAATCTTTTGCCCTGTGATTTGAATACCATTGTTCTTGCAATAGGTGCTGGTGCATATAATATTACATGTGGTACAATATTTTTAGATGGTTCAATAGGATTAATCAGAGGATATTTTGGTTGAATTTCTTCTAGTTGAACCACAAAAACGTCAGTGCCTTCACATAGACAACCCATAATTTTGAATTGACAAGCACAAAGAAGTAATACTTCTTCCTCATTTGGATAAAATGTATGATTTCGAATTTTTTTGCCAGAATAACAATCGATAGTAAATAATGCTTTTTTCCTTTTTTTTTACTGAAATATTGTTCATTATTGAGAGTATTAAGAGATGTTGTACACAATGAAAAAGTCCACCATACAATGGTGTTTACTGTTTTAAATTCATCACTTAGATCCAAATTTACACAACGACATACATGAAAACGTTTTGATTCAGATGGAAGTTTAGCTAGTGCACTCATAATCAGTTGAAGATAAAAGAACCAAGACTTAGTAAAGTAGTGTTGAGAATAAAGTAAAAAGATTGATCTTTTGAATACCATTCCAATGAATAAAGGAAGATTGAAGCTGATTCATCGAGTGTCAATCCGTCTTTTGGTGAATGACAATAGCCTTTCACTCTTTGAACCATACTCTCGACATTAGGCACGAGAGAAACAGGAGGCTTGACGGCTTCTTCAAGAGACACAAAGGGTGCTTTTTCGTATCCTTGAATAGATTACAAGGTTTCTTTTGATTCGGTCTCCACACAGGCTTGTCAGTCATAATTCAAAGAAGATGAAAAATAAAAATATTTCTAAGTAACAAACAGAAATCTGTCATTGTGTCATCAACAATCGGAGGAAATTTTGATTCAAATACACTAAGATCCTTTTTGGCAAAAGTTGCTTAAAAAACTTTCAAAAAAAAAAGCAAAAATTAATCTTACATAATCTTCATTCTCAAATATCAAGTTCAAAAAGGTTCGAATTGTTCTAAAGCTTTTTGGCTTCATGTCAAACCTAAACTACATTCGACTGGAGAGATTTTTTCCTGCGAAAAACTGATCTTTGATGAATCACGGGACAATAATTTAATAAGATATAGCCGTGAAGGCGACAGGTGATTTTTTCACAGGAAAAAATGTCTCTTAAAATGTGTTTGATTCAATGTAGTTTTTGACGCTGATTCTTAATGTCACATTTATTTTCTTTTACAGTTGTGTCATCGTGATGGAAATCGCTAAAAATGTTTCATCTTCTATTTAAAAATCATCAAAAACAAATAGAAAGAAGAGAAATAGGAACCTTATCTCACCCCGAAAAGACCATTGTGTAGAGAATAAAATATTGCATAGCACATATAAAATTCAATTTGGAGCTATCTGGTTCTAAATCTCCATAGGTCATAGATTGTTCTAAAGTGAACATCTTAAACTGATAAAAGAAAAACATGTTTCATTCAGGTTCACCTTATAAAACTGAAGTCAGTCGATCTTATATTGTTTTAAAATAGTTCATTTTGTTGAGTTTTTAATCCGCTATATTTTAGTATAATTTATAAAAAATTTGAATGATTCGTTGACAGAAAAATTTCAAAAATCTTTTACAGGCTTTTTCGTCATAAGGATATGATGGTGAATAAAAGTCAGGATTGCCTAAATTTTCAAAAAAAAGAAGAGTTTTGGAGTTGATAGTTTTAGACACCTATGCATTAAAATGTACAAAAAAAGAAAAAATCTGTCTTTTTTGTATTGAAGATCCTGTATACTTGATGGTCTCATGGTTTCTCTCTTAGATATTATATCTGTGATTTTGTAATCAGCTAAAGAACATTTTTTCAATTCACCCCTCATTTTGTTGAGCATTACTTAATTTTGATGTTATAACAATGATTTGTTTAATTTATTTTCAAAATAAAATTCTATGATGCAATACATTCCTTTTCATCACACTTACTTGTTTTTATGTTGTAAATGAAAAATAATTAACACAAATATTATTTATTCAAGAGTCAGTAGAGAATAAAAGTTTTGTGTTTTGTTTTACATTTCATAAAATTTACTTTTTTTCTCGAACATATTGTTAAGATGTTCAAAAGAGTAAAACAGCATTGCTTTTGTGTCAATAGTTACATAATATTCTATTTTTGTTTTATATTCTCATTCTTCAAGTGCAAACAGCACGATGAAATATGCAACAGTTAAAACATAGAGCATATAAAGTCTTGTGATGCACACTGTCTTTTTCTTTTTTCTTTTAACTACGTTGGAAAGCATCAACAAAATTTGTTCGGTGCAAATAGATATTGTTTCCAACATTGTACGAAGAAAAGAAGACACACTCTTACAGATTTACGTAGAAACAAAATAAATCTCATTTATCAGTCGATATGTATCAACAGAGATGACAATGAAGAGACGCTAAAACAAAAAATAAGACAATAAAAGATTAAAAGGAAAGATTTTTAATAAGTCGAAACTATAGAAAATCTTTTCATTTCTATTCTATTCTATTATGTATTTGTTGAGAAAAAATCCAATATCCTTTTATTCGTCAACTTAATATATTGAATAACTTCTCTTTGAGATAGTAGATGAATTAAAGCTTCAAATAGATAAAAAAATTTAAAGAATTAGAAATTTCATATAGATTCTATTTAGATTTAGTTTATATATATTTACGTCCCGATCAGATTTAAGAGTTTTTTAAATCCTATCGTCAAGAAACATCATCGACACTTTAAATCAATAGACTTACATTACCTGTGGAAAATTTATACCTAGAGAAGCTCATTTCTCGTCGATCTCAAAAAACCGATACATATAGAACCAACTCAACATGCCATACTTCAAAAGTTACACCCAAGTATGACTTAGTTATTATAAGATCATCATCAAGATTGCCTGAAAAATATGTAGAACGTGTTAGTAGCCGAATTCCAAACGACTATAAAACTTAGACTGAAAATTTATAGTGAAACTATGCGTATAATTCGAGTCCAAAAAATTTAATCAACCTAGTTTGGTTCCAAAAATTTTGCACCCAACGAACTCAACATGCAGAGTCTACATATCAATAACAGAATAATAAGTCCTTGTAATTCCTTGAATAAAGACAAATTGAACATAATGACTGAAATTATAAAAGTAGATTTACAGACATAATCATTTGTCTAACAACGTACAAACAGTCTGTATAAAAAGAGGATACAAATCAGGGTATCGTTTTGCTGTTGAAAAGCTAAGTAAGGTTTGCACAAGAATCAAAAGTCAATTAATTATCGCATTATTAATATGCTTTCAATACTGATTTGAAAAACTCAGAACATTAGAGCAATTGTATACTTTTTTGACATTTATCGTCGTCCAAGTCTCGGGCAACCTCAGCTCAGTCTTAAAGAACTATTAACAAGACAGACAGAGGGAACAGGGTCTCCAGTAAAAGTGCTTGATCGTGATATCACTATATCTGGATATGAGTAAACCAAGAAATCGAAATTAGGCAAAGATTTTAGATCAAAAATTTGATCTGCTTATAATAGTTCTAAAGCAGAAAACGTTAACCTCATCAAAAGAGCTTCTATTCTTCAAGGTATTTCTACCAATATGTAATAAGCGATTGTATTGTTCACGACAGAATAGAGATATAAAAGATCGTATATATTTAAAAATA